ATGTGTTGACATATCCAGCAATTACTGAGATTACGATCACGTGCAAGTAAAAAGTCAACATTTGGTAAATGTGTTCTGGGGTTTTATGTGAGGGACTTTCACTAACAGTTGTTACCCATTGCCTTCTCTAGTGAGTGTCATCAGCCACCTTGGATCCAATGCAAACTCAGGTTAGTTAATCACACAGTGTCACACATTCAGGTCCTCAGGCATATTATAGATAGATGGTTGTATTTTCAGTTCTTTATTATTGTAAATTAGGATATTTGAATGAATTTGCTGTGGTTTTTTTTACATCTGTCATTTTCCCTGGAACTGCCCAGTTGAGTGCTACGTAATTCTCCTCTCTCCATAAAAGAATGCAAATATTTGTCTTGATGTTACGGTCCTGGTCACAAAATTGTTACCTTTCATAACCTCCACACATCAGAGCACCTTTTGTAACAGTGATTTGTCTCCTTTTAGGACACTACATTAGTGCAGGGGTCAAGCGTGATGCAGCTGAAGATGATCCCACTGACCAATGGGTCATTTACGATGACAATACTGTCACACGTACAACTGGGCAGTCCATGTATAACCATTTTTAAAAAAATGCTTACATCCTTTTCTACAAAAGACACGTAAGTTTACGACACTGAGTCCAACACTTTGAATTTACCTGATTGTATCGTACACAAGCATTTTTTTTAATTTTGAAGAGTTGTGAAATTCATTGACTGTACTGACATAGTTTTTCTCTTTTTCTCAAATATAGGGCCTGATGTAAATGGTGTTCTTTCTTTTGATCACATTGAAACCATCAGCCTGAGCGACTGCAGTATTGAAAGGTTCAGTGTGTAGGACTCATAAAAACTCACAAGAACAGCTTGATGAGTTTTTGTTGATATTGTTTGTCATCCACCAACCAGAAGGTTGGCAGCTCGACTCCCAGCCCATGCATAAGTGTCCTTGGGCAAGATGATTCTGAACCCCAAAAAATTTATGTTGAACGCATTAAATGTAGTGTGTATCTTCTAAAAAATATCTTAATAACTCATTATGATGACTACTTTCTCTCTGTCTCTAAAAAATATCTTAATAACTCATAGGATGACCACTTTCTCTCTGTCTCTAAAAAATATCTTAATAACTCATAGGATGACCACTTTCTCTCTGTCTCTAAAAAAATATCTTAATAACTCATAGGATGAAAGAATTCAGCAAATACACTGAACTATAGGATTGATCTACTGGCAGCCTTTAAACTGAAGAATGTGCTGCCTATGATGTTGGCTTTATGGCTACCCACAAAGCAACTGAATGAAAGAATAAAGGAATGCAGTAATGCCCCTTATCATGGGTTGCCACAAAGAAGAAAGATAAACTTTAGGTTGCCAGATAAATATTTTTCAGCAAACTCAACTCAAATCAACGTTTAACCATGAAATCTTTTCTATTAAGCATCGCTAATCTTTTCAAGAGCAGAAGTGAGAAACTTAGAGGGTAAGAACAAAATAACATTACACTGACATAGGAAATAGAAAAACCAGAACAATAGTGCTTGAGTTTGAAGAGGAAGTGCTCCCAAAAAATATGACTCTTGGCTTTCTATGCTGTAGTGTCAAAGAGTA